CCGCCGAGGAAGAACTGGCTGATGCTGCATCCGCCATCGTCTGCGGTGGCTTGGCAGGTTGGTGGCGGCTTCCCCCTGCCGTTCCTGCTCTCCCACCACCACCAGCTCTACTGCCACCACCAACCCCCTCATCACAACCATCGCCACCATCCCGGTGCAAGCAGCTGTGCAGCTGACGCTTGCATGGGGCCGACGGCGTACTCTGGTGCAGGTGGCAGCAGGGTTGGTCCGCGTGCTCGTCAGGTCGGTTGGCCGGTTCAGAGGCCGCGCGGCTGTATCTTGCACAGTGAAGCGGTGCCATCAACCCGGCTGAGCAATTGTTGCTTGTCAAAACAAAGTCCTTTGACCCGCCTGTTTGTCGAACCGTTGGGCCCCATCAAACTGGCAGGCATGGCACTGTGGGCATCCATCATGCCCATAGACACCGCCAAGACGCGCATCCAGACGGCCGCCGCCGGCAGCGCGGCCGCAAGGATGGGCCTCCTGGCGACGATGCGCGCGCTTCATCGCGAGGGTGAGGCGCAATACCAGCATCACTATGAAGTGCCGTGCTGTCTCGATACACAGGCGAAAGCCACGCGGTGCCGGTCAAGGCCCCCAGCCTGCACATGGGTTGTGTCCTTTGGTTCTACATGCCATCCTTCAGCTGGGTGCGGGACAGGCTCTGCGCACAGATGCATGCACGCATACACACCAAAGCAACGCGCTACCGCACGCCCACGCCTTCTCGCGCCGCGTTTGGACGCCATTTCGCCTGCAGGTGGCGCGAACAAGCTGTACGCCGGCCTCAGCCCGGCGCTGGCGCGCGCCTTCCCCGCCAACGCGGCGCAGTGGCTTGTGTTTGAGCTCTGTGTCAAGTACATCGGGCGCTGGACCCACGACGCGCCCCCACACCCCCACAAGCTGGAGGCGCAGGCGGCCGCGCACTGAGGGCCGCTCAGCAACGCGCGGCTCCTGGGCTGCCAGGCAAGGTATGGGCGGCAGCGGGCAGGTTTCGGGCGCGCGTCTTTGGAGGGGCGGGGACCCCGCCTTCACGCGTGCGGCCCAAAGCCGTGGCGTGTTTATACCTTCCTGTCGAATGATTGCTCCGATTTTTGGCGGCTGGCGCCTTCAAATCACGGATGGCCCCTCAGGTCAGTTGCACAGGCAGTTGACCGTCCGCATGAGTTGGTGCTGCAACGCGGCCAGGTCATGCTGTGTGCGCCGATGATCTTTCTCAGTGCAACAGATCGCTTTGACTTGGCCGGTCAGCTGAATTGACGATGTGCGCTGCACCCTGGAGCGCGGTGGGCCTTCCCACGACCTTGGGGCAAAATCCCCTCTGACGACGTCTGCACGCGCACGCACAGGCCACAGATGCAGCAGCTCTGCATCGAGGGCTCTCATTTTGGAATCATTGCTTGTTGGATACAGGTGCCAAGCACTTATTAAGCAGTGCAGTCCCCGGTGCCATAAATTCAACTGTTCTCAAATGAACCATTTGACTCCTCCCAACTGTCTGTCCTGTGACCGAGCCTGCAGCCATCACTCCCAACCCAACCCACTCTGCACCCAGCGGTGCAAATAAACCTCATCGCGCGCCTCTTGCACATTCCTAGGAGCGTTTATGCATCCTTACAGACACCAGAGGTTAGGTCAGTTTTTGCATATGGAGACACCTTGATTGTTGGCGATTTGCCAGGTTGACGGCCACCTCCGCCATTGCCAACGCATTGGACGCGGCGGCGTGGTGTGCCCGACGCACTGCACGGCCTCCCGTCTCAAGTAATAGTCTATCCGAATCTGGCTGTGCATCATACATGTAGCCTGCTCAGCAGAGCGATTTTGCAACGTTGCGTGTCCCAGGCGGCAGTCCACAAAGCCCAGCGTGACATGTCGCAGCGCAGTGGGAGCCCGGTGCCGCGGGAGCGAGCGCAGTGGAAGCCCGGCCGTGCCAGGTTGGCGTCCAGGTTGGGCGTGAGTTCATTTTTATACAGCGCCATTCCGTAGCATGTGTTGCTCTTCAGCGGTTGCACCCTCCCGGCGTACATTACATCAAGGTTCATGCCTGATTTTCAGCAGACATATGTAAATTTTCTAACATTTAGAGTGTTTAAACACTGTACACAAGTGTAAATTCTCCACTTCTGAATAAGGAACACCTTGAGCGAGCCAAGCCACATCGTAGTCGCACCTGTACGTGAAAGACTTGCGATTATTGTCAAAAGTTCTGAAGCGCGCCTTGCTCGACAAGTCTGGGAGCACGCGCGCAGACGCGGCGACGCGTGCCCGGCGAACCAGTGCCTGCACGCGCCAGCGCAGCGCACGACCGGTGGTCGCGTCAACATGCAGGACTCGAAGCAGCGCCGCGCCGCCCACGGCGCCGGCAAGCCGTGGCGCGCCGGGGCGGGCGGCGCCGCGGGCGGCGAGCGGCTGAGGACGTACCAGCCAAACCTTGCGCGAGAGCTGGCCGACGAGGCGCGCCGCACCAAGGGCGCTGCTGGCACCGAGGTTGGTCGCGCCGCGCTCATTCGGTGCCGTGCACACCCTGCACGGCGCGTGTTCGGTCAATGTGCTGCGCCTGGGGTGGCAGTGCAGTCGTGGCTTCCTCTGCAACGCACTCGTGCCCGAAAATACCATGCGCCGTCCTCATGATTCCGATGGCACTGCCGACCCAGCGCCCTTCCGCGGCTCCGGCGCAGAAATGGGATGGGGAGGAGGCAGCATCCCCAGGGACGTGAGTGGCCCGCCTCGCAGGGCATGCGGGCATTCTGACCGCAGGAAGGCAACACTCTGCGCGTTCAAAGCAGCCCATGCTGCACATGCTGGCGTCCGGCCGCTCAGGCGCACTGCGCCAGCCCGCTGCCGTGTGCTGAGCCGCCCGGCCCCCCGCCTGCGCCCGCCCTAGGATGCAGCAACTTGTCCGTGCGTCTGGGCTCAAGTCTATCCACCCACTCTGACATGCCCCCCTCTCACTGCTGTGATGCACGCATGAATTCCTTTTCCGCCACCGCATGGAAATAGGGCGGCGTTTGGCGCGTGGGAGGCCCGCAAGGCGGCGCAGCGCGCAGCGCTGGCGGCCAAGGCGCGCGCCAAGGCGGAGCGCTACCAGCAGGCGCAGCAGGTGCGCACGCTCGCCTCGGGTCTGGTCCGCTGCTGCAGCAGCTGCTTGTACTGTACCGCGCACACGAAAACTGCTGCTGCGGCCGCCACCGCCACTGCCGCGGCCGCCGCCGCGGCTGCCGCGTGCGCTGCGTTTGCCTGCACCGTGCTCACACCTCTTTGACTGCTGGGGATCGGCACGGCTGGCAGCGTATGTTGGCGGTTTAGTTGGTTGCTTCTGGCTCCCGGCAAACGGCACATTCCATTCTGTCGGGCCCTGCTCCTCTGCACCCCCCCCCCAAAATACGCCATCCCGCGCACCCTCCTGCTGGCGCGCTCGGCCTGCAGCGCCACGCCGCTGAGGTGGCGGCCCAGCGCGACCGCGAGTTCCAGGAGACGCTGGCCGTGGTGGTCTCAGGCATTGTCGACGGCGAGGGCGTGACGGGCGAGACGAGCGCGGTGCGTCGCTCTAGCTGCTCCAGGGCAGATGCTGCTCATTGCAGATTGGATGCTGCCAGGGGCGCAGGCAGCGCGGCCGCGGCGCTGCGTGCGCTGCTGAGCCACCGAGCAGCAACCGAACGGCCGGGTCGCTGCTTGTTTGCGGCAGGAGGCGAGCGTGGCGCCCTTGAGTGGCTGATGGATTAGCACAATTAGAGTGCGCCAATCTCTGCGCGCCCAGCATCTGGTCGTTTGGGCGACTGCATGCCTCAAGGTTGGGCCGCGGGGCCGCCGCGCCTTGCCGCCGCACCACGCGCGCGTTCGCGCTGACAGGCGGTGGAGGACGCCGGCCGCGCGTACGCGGCCCGCCAGGCGGCGCTGTACGAGGAGTGGCGGGAGCAGGTGTTTGAGAAAATACAGGTGGGACGAGGCGCGCGGCTGGTGACACGCTTCCTTGCTCTGCAAACCCCCTTGCTGCATGCTTTCTCAACTCGCCGGTGCTTTGCTGCATGGAAGAAGCAGCACTGGCTCGCGATGAGCAAATCCAGCGCTGAAAACAGTGGCTTGCTGGCTGTCGTCCTGGTAGAGCTTGAAAGCCCATTGAATCACTCAGGTGTGCCGGCCCCGGTGTCCCCGCCCGACCTCCCCACCCCAGTCGCGCATCCAAGAGGGCGTTGCGCGCCACACAGTGGCTGAGATCGAGGCGCGCCTGCAAGAGGCGGCCGCAACGTACGTGCGCGCCACTAACGAGAAGCCCTATGGTATCTACTTGGACGTAGTGCTGCCGGAGCAGTACGACCCCCTGGCGCCGCTCGCGCGCACGGTCAAGATCACGACGCGCGACGTGTTTGACCCGGTCAAACGGGACTTGCTGAAGGCGCAAGCGGAGCGGGACCTGCTGCGCGTGCCGGTGGAGGGCGCGGCTGCGACGCGCGGCCGGGTCAAAGGTGAAGCCTCTGGCTGGGCGAGCGGCAGCGGCAGCAACAGCAGCGGCAGCGGCAGCGGTGGCACATTGTGCAGCACAGGCGGTGGCGGTGGCAGTGTGCTGCGCGCGGGCTCGCCGTCACGGCTCGCGCCGGCGCAGACGCGGCAAATGCTGGAGACGACCAATTGGTGAGGGGGCCACGTACGTTGTTTGCAAGTGCAGGAGGAGAAGACCGATCAAGGCACTGTGGGAAAATTATCTTGCGCCCCAAGATCAGGGTAACAGCTCGCCCGACCCAAGCTCCAAGCCACATGATCATCGGACGATGAGCGCAAGCAATCAACCATCTGTTTACTGCTTGCAACTCCTCATGTTTGGCCCATCTACCAAACACGCCCTGCCCCCACGCTGGCCCCTCGTTCCTGCTCCCTGCCGCCCGTGCAGGGGCGCTCTGCGGATCAAGGCGACGCCTGCATGCCACTGCATCGACTCGGCCGGCCTCTACTCTGTGCGGCCGCCCGCGCCGGCGGCGCTGGTGATGGGCGCCAGCAGGGTGGTGCTCGACGACTTCTCGGCACCGGCGCCCGCAGAGTGCCGCCCGGGGAAGCGGGTGGGAGGCGGGGAGGCGCGGCGGGATCACATCGATGACATCGTCAAGTGGAAGTGAGGGGGCAGGATTTGAGGTTCGGCGGGTGGCGTCGATCGCACTTGTTGTGTGGTACCCAATATGATGAGTGTGTTTGAGCACCGTTTCCTCGCTTGTACCAGAGGACTGGACTGTGGGTTTAGGAGGGCGGGATTGGCCGGCTTGAGGCAGATGCACAGGGGCCGCCCTCGGCACTCCGAACTCCCCGCCGCACGGTCGCCTGCCTGCGCCGCAGGTGCGCGGCGCCTGGCAGCACCGCTAGCGGCTACAGCGGCGGGGACGCCTGGCTCGAGGCCAAGGGCAAGCGGTTTGTGCCAGGTGCGGTCCGGTGCGGGTGGTCTCTTTTGGGGGGGGGCCAAAGGTCACCAGCCCATGAAGGCGCCGAACGAGGCATGAAAAGAGGCGTGCAATCCCAGACCTGGGACAGCAGACTGCGAATTGTATGGGTATGCCCATACAGGATTCTACAAACGCACAGCTTTGACTCGGGCGCTCCAGCGCGCGCCCGGAGTCTGTAAGCGTGGCGGACGGGGCGGGAG